ATTTTGATGAAGAAATTTAAATTTCCCTTTAATTTTCGTAATCTCTTCTCTGAAAGTTGTAGTCACATATGTCATTCAACACAGAATATACTTCCTTAGTTATTAGGAAAAGTAGATACACTAGGCAGTCTCGGGATTCTTGCTTATGTAATGCCAGATAAGTAGAATAGTGCTTTCCTTATTACATTTTCAGTTTCAGAGATAAGAGTTGCGTGGATAAGTGGTCCATTCTGGTCCCTGAGGGTCCCTGCATGTCTGCATATTCTCTCTCTTTTTTTTGTTTTAGGTTTTTGCCATAGGGCACGTGCACTCATTAGAGAGAGACACCTTCTCTTCTAATCTCTCCTACAATTTTGGGCATGTGAGCACAAGCACGTGGCATGATTTTCAGGCCATCAGGTCCTGGACTTCAACCCCTCAGTCATGTGGTAGTCCAGCACCTTCACTATCCACCACCTGAGGACTCTTATCTGCACGTTTTTGCTGAGTATGCTGAGAATGCAAGATCCAGCCGCTCTTTACCCAAACTATTTCGCAGAGTTGTGTTTGCAGTGAATAACCTTGAGGGAGGAGGTAGTAACTTCCTTTGGGACAAAGAGCAGGTTTTTTTTTTTTTTTTTAATTTATTTTTTTATTACTTTGTACAAAAGAATGGGTTCCAGGGCCAGAGGGTGGTGTGATGGTTAAGTTAGCTGGATCTCACATGATCGATTGTAGTTTGAGACCTGAACCCAGTGTCTTGAAAAATATCCTGGTCATGTGTGTGTCCAAAATCTCAAGAGGAGAATAGAAGAGAAGGGACTGAACTACGGTTATTTCCCCTGAGTGGTGCTTTCTCACCTTTTCTCTGTTTCTCTTGGTCTCTTTCTGTCTCTCTCCAATGAGCACATGTTCCCCATAGCAAAAAAAATAAAACAGGAATGGGTTCCAAATCTCGGCTGTGATGTTGGCCCATGGAATGTACTGCATTCCTTCATCCAGGTCTATACTACGTCCTTGTGGGACCTGGGCACAGACATGTGAGAATCATGCTACTTTTCTGTGTCTTAAATAATAAAACATTATCTTTGACCTAGGCATCTCATAGCTTCTGCCAGCATCCATGTTCTCATAGCTTCTGCCAGCATCCATGTAATAGTGAGGGTCAACATATTAGCATCTAAGTGCAGTAAAATCAAACCATGGTCCATGAAGACTGTCTATGAAGCAATTTATAAAGTTCTTGGCTACTGTCGTGTTAGTATAGTGAAAGGTTCAGTGATATGCCACTTGGACTGGTCTCCTAAAGGCTTTTCAGTGCTCATGTCTATTGTCAGCAGAAAAAAAACAGACAAGAAAAGATTCAGGGACCTTTCAATTCTCCAATATCTCTTTCAGTTTCCATAGTAGGTGTTTGTATATGTAGAAAGAGAAGCTTGTTCCATTCTCACCCTAAACTACAGTCTGTTTTCCATTATAACACACAAGATGCATCATAGCTGACACTGCCTGTCTTTCTCTCAGTGTCCCTGGTCACCTGTACGTATCCTTTCTCCTGTAACACTCCACAGTTCACCAATTTTTAATTTCCTGAATATGTGATGCTATATTCCCTTACCTTTGTGTATTTGTTCCCCTCAGCCTGCCTTGCCTATATGAAAAAATTCCTATTCATGTTTCTAGACCTTGCAAAGCACCATTTAGCTTTCTTAAATTGTAAGCAGACAATTGATCATTTCACCTATAAATGCATCCAAGTCCCTAGGCAGTTGTTTCTATTGCTCTCTCCCCTATTGCTTTCTTAGCATCTTGAGACTAGCACCTAAATCTTATCTGTGTTTGCATTCAGGGCAGCCACAGTGATACTTAGTATGTTGGAGTGCTAAGTAAATATTTGCTGAGCGCAACTAAAATTTTGTCATTCATACCAATCATAGGGATTAATTCTTAGGTTAAACAGCTTTCTATGATATTTGATCATGCAGTTTACTTATTAACAAAACCTAAAGACTTAGGTGTCACATCACTTACCAGAGCACCACTGCTAAGCAGGATCATGAGGACAATGAAGCTTTCAAACCAACTGTGTTCAACTATCCTGTAGCAGGTTTTCCTGATGTTCCACCAGATTTTTCCTTTCCCTGACTCTGTGTTAACTTGACAGCATGGGAACCTCCGTACACAACCTAACAGGAAAGACATGCATGTAAAATCTCACATTCAGAAAAAGTAAAATGGTTAAAGTATGTTATTTAGTGGAAGCTTTCTCTATGATACTCCCCAATGAAGTTTCTAAAGCCTTTTCCTGCAGTCCCAGATAGATTCTGACTATTGCCTTCTTTAATCTTCTAACTCACCATGGTTCTTTCTTAAGGCTTGTCAGTTATTTTTAACTTAAGGTATATTCTGATCTTCCATAATTCCCTGATTTTTATTATTCTCCTCCATGGTGTTTCAGTCATTTATTTGGTGTATGAATGAATAAATGAAAGAACTAAAAATCTGAGAACAAAATGTCCTGCCAGGCCTTCTTCACTGCCAGATGAATTCTCCTGGGTGTGGATCTAGGCTGTACTTTAAGAAGTTTCTACTCTTCAATAAAAAAATAAACCTTTGAGAAACACCTTTCTGAACAGTGTCAAATAAGTTAGTGGACGTCTGAAATTAAGTTCAAAGAAATATTTTGATTAGAAAATAAAGATGAAACTGTTTCTAAATTAAAAACAAATCTGACTTTGAAGTCTCATGTATAATATAAATGAATCTGACTTTGAAATCATAGGTTGAATTTATGCTATTATGAAAAACTGGGGAATTTTTGGTTTTAAAATATATAGATTTATTCATTCATTCACTTATTTATTTGCCCATCAAACATTTACTAAGTATCTTCTATTTACTCAGCTTTGTACATAGTTTTCTCTCCTCAGGGAATTTAGGAATTTATTTTTGGCTTCATTTAGGTAAACAGACACAGAAATAAACACCTGAAATTAGATAAGGCTGACAGATACCCAGGGTTTATTTCAGCAGTATGGAAAAAGTTCACCTTATTGGATCCTTATTGTTTTATATATTTCAGTTTATTTATTATTATCATAATCTTTTTTTACATTACATGGAATCACATTAACAGTGTATTACATTTTTTTTCAGTAGAATTACCATGCATATTGGTCAAGACAAAGACATTACTATCCATCTCATCATCAAATAGCTTTTTATCATTTTTTTAAGATTATTATTATTATTATAGTTTATTCTAATTTTTTAAAACATTCAATCCCTATATCTAATTTGACTTGTAAAAAGAATTTACTAGTTTATTCTAATTTTTTTAAACATTCAATCCCCATATCTAATTTGACTTGTAAAAAGAATTTACTCAACATGAAATACTTCTCAGACAAGTCCTTATTGAGGAGGAGCGATCAGAAGAGGCTTTCTGAAAGAGGAGAGGCCTGAATTGAATCAAAGCAGCAGTGACTGCCATTCCAGCACAAGGGGGCAGCAAGAAGTGTTATGCATAGGAATTACAACCAGTTCAGAATTGCGATGAAAACAAAAAGTACACAAGAGGTGCAGCTGAGAGATAAAGTTAGAGAAATTTGTCAGGTTGTGGAAAACATTTACCCCTACGTCAAAAGTTTGGTCTGTATCCTGTGGAGCTTGAGGAGTATGTGAAGAATATAAGCAGGGGGACCAGCAGTTAGCGTACTGGCTATGTTGCTGGACTCCCATGTAGCTGACTGTGGTTCGAATCCCTGACTTGGTGGCTTAAACTCACTCCGGGCGCGTGTGTGTGTGCGTGCCCAAGATCCTGAGAGGAGAATGGAGGAGAAGGGATTGTAGAGTGGCCATCTCCCCTGGGGGTGATTTCTCATTTTCTGTCTGTTTCTCTCTGTCTGTCTGGCAAGCGCACGCGCCCTATAGCAGCAAAACCTCTCCAAAAAAAAAAAGAATATAAGCAGGGGATGAGATAGACAGATTGCCATTTAAACAGATGTCTCCAACATCATGTGGAAAATAGGTTGGAAAAGGAGAAGAGAAAGTTGAGAAAGAGTCAGAGTCACGAAAACATTTAGGATTCTGGTTCCATGTCCCTGTCAAGAGGGATAGATTAGGGCAACTCTAGTCAGGAACCAGAATAATAGATGGCTTTTTTATTTTTTTTTTGAGAGTATTTTTTTTTTCCCCTATAGGGTACGTGCGCTTGCCAGAAAGGCAGAGAGAGACAGAGAGACAGAAAGTGAGAAATCAATCCCCAGGGGGGATGGCCACGCTGCAATCCCTTCTCCTCCATTCTCCTCTCGGGATCTTGGGCATGCACGCACATGTGCCCGGCATGAGTTTAAGCCACCGGGTCTGGGACTTCAACCATGGTCGACTACGTGGGAGTCCAGCGACATAGCCATTACGCTAACTGCTGGTCCCGATGGCATATTTTGAGGTAAAATGAACAGTACTTGGTGATTGACTTGTTGTGGGATGTTAGAGCAATGAAGACTCCCAGGATGCCTGGGCGAATGTAGGTAATGGAATGAAGGCCATAAAAGCAAAACGGATTTGGGAGGTAATGAGTTTAAGACACATATTAAACTTCTCAGTTCAGATATCCCGTAGGAATATGAAACCCAGGGGGAAAAAAATCTGGCTAGAAGAGAATACGCAGAAATCATTAGCATACAAGTGCCAGCTGACATTGGTGAATGAGTGAAGTTCTGACATGTGACTTCTTTGTTATACTTTCATCTTGCTGATTAACTTAAAGAAAAATATCAATAAACTTTCATGTTAAAATAGCTTTTTTTCAATTGCAGTCATAGACTGTCTATAAATATAGAAGTTTGGCAAAATGTAACTAAAGTATTTTGTGAGAAACAATCAGATATATGAATGCATGCATAAAAAAATAAAAGTGAATACTATTAGTAGTATTTGTAAACTGTGTGATACACAAACTTTAGTATTAAAACTTGTAATAATCTGATATGTGTGTGCATACTTTTTTTCCCTCACAGAGAACACGTTGTTAAACATTTATCTGGTCATTATTGGGACAAGCAGAAGAAGAGAAAATTTTGAAGGAGAGGGAGCCTAAGTGGTAAAGGTAAGACACATACAAGAGAATCAGGCCGTAGTAAAAGAAAAGTCAGGGAGTGAAATGTTTAAGAGGAATGGTGAGCAGAGCCATGGACAGAAGGCTAGAGAAGTAATGACTGAAACATTTTTAAATTATATTTAAAAATCTAGACTTGATTTTAAAATAAACAAGCAGACCTGAGTTGAAGAAAAGGAGGAATTTAAAATGAGTACTATAATTAATTGCCCTCATCACATTTGAGATTAAAAATCCTCATCTTACACGAACATAGAAGGTTGAAAAGCAACAATGGGCAGCACTTTTTCAATATCTATTCTTAAATGTTGTATTTTAGGCCCTTTCAAAAATTTAAATTCCTATTCAATAAAATAATATTCATTAAAAAAGTATTGAACCTTTAAAATAAAAACTTTAGATGGTCACAAGCCTGCATCCCTCTAGATGAACCCTGCTGATTAGACTATGTATTGCGATGAATTCTTCCAAGTTTCTGAAGTGAGATTGGCACACTGATCCCATTGATGTATTTCCTAAAACTACATTTCCTACTGTATAGAAATGTAGCAAGCTATATTCTTTGTGGCCAAAATCTCTGTTGTTTTGCTATCATGGATATTGTATGTGTCCCTGTCCTTTCTTTTGGAAGGGTAATAATTCCCAGATGGCTAAATAGTGTCTCTTACGCCCTTTGTGCTCACAGTACTTACTGTAGTCCTCTACACAGCTTAATATGCTGTGTATGGTTGATTTAAAAAAAAAAAGTAATCCCCCTGAAATAGTTCTATAATCTTCTAAGCATTAATCATAATCTGAAAGGTCATTTCTCTGTGAATTTTAGAATTTATACAAATATTTAAAAAATGGGGTGAATACACACATGACTTCATTTATCCAATGTTAATTATAGTTAATATGATCTCAGATTTGAAAGGATTTATTATCATTGCACTTAAAATAATTACCTTACATCTCAAATACATTTGGTTAAGAGAGAACATTTGATAAAATGATATGGAAGGCTAGGGTAAAAAATTAACTTGAAGATAATCTCTTTCAGGGCAAAAGAAAATGCTAGAGACAGTGAAAAAATTGAGAAACCATTTTTTACATTAACTCAGTGCTTGAAACTTTAGAATTTATCTCACGTATAAAAACAAACATCACATACAGAACAGATACTGTTTCCAGTATAAATTATTGGAGAAGTCCCTTTGAATTTTACACTCTGGGATTTATTTTTGTCAGTCTTAAAAATGATGCAGAAACATTACTCTTAGGATTAAAGATGGAAAAAATACTGAACATTCTAATTTGAAAGTAAGTAAACTTATTATCTGAGATGAAGGTTCATAAATATTGCCCTTAGGGTTTATCACACCTTAGAGAGTTTCTCTTTCACATTTTGAGGCAGGAGTGTTCAACCACCTGCCTGGCTTTTGTGCAAAGGCATATCCCAAGAGCATTTCAACTTACCTGGTTAGTAAAGTTATCACACCTTCTTCTCAAAACGTCTATTAATTACATGTAAACATAACAGAGAAGCTCTCAAATGTTTTAATAGGTCCCAATGAGTAAATGCTATTTCTTTGGGGTATTTTCATTAATCTGCTCTCATCATGCATTACATAAAGTCTTTCTGTGTTTCATCATGTTAAACTAATATTCTCAAATAAAAAAAAATAAAAACAGGAACTACTGACCTCTTCAAAGACAGACTGCTCATTAATAAAAAATATATCAACAAGATCAATATAATTAAGGCAAAATTTGATTAGGAAAGCAAGCTTTCCTAATTCTATTTCTTAAAAATATGTAAATATTTTTAAATAAATGCTTTGTTCACATTTTCTTCCCCCTCCCAGATTTTAAAGGTGTAAAGGAGTTGGTTATTGTATTATTGAAGTATCAGTTATTAGTTGTTTGCTGTTGGAAAGTTGATGAACTCAGAACATTTTTGAGAGATTAGTTGGCTGTTCTTAGCAAATTAATAAAAAATACATTGTTTTAAGAAAAAGAAGTTATCTTTCTCTAGCTCAAATAATTTACTAATTGTACAGTCCAAAAGGAGTGCAATGGAAAAGCAATTAGAATCAAAGATGCATTTCATGTTCAGAAGTATTCAGAATTAAGGATAGTGAAGAACAGTACCAGATCTAGGAAAAGAGAAAGAAGTCATGAATTATAAAGCAATAAAAGCAGAACTGAGGAAAGACTTGACATAAGATGGAGGAAAAAAGGTGAATAGAGGAACAGGTTGCAGTCAGCACATGTTAGTTAACTGATACTTGGGCTGAAATTGATCTATAGGAGTGAGGAGGTGGATGAAAAAAGCCATTTAACATTTGTCTTCAGTGAATGTGCAACTGTGATTACACTGTGTCTTTCATACTTTGATTTTTATGCTAGCTTTCAAGTAATCAAAACTGCTGGAGGCTAAATGCTGTCTGGAACTGTCACTGGTTCTGGCTCAACTCAAGTAGACCAATGAAAAACTTGTTAAGAATAGTTTCCAAAATAAATGAGCGAAGACATACTTTCCCATCCTGACAAGTCCACTCATCAAAGTCTTCATGTGGAAATGATATTTCCAGTTCTAACACTCCAAATGTGAATGTATCTTTGACTCCTCTTTAGATATCCAGTCCATCTTTGATATCCAATCATTCCAGCTTTAACTTTGGAATATACTTAGAATCTCATAGTCTTGCAATCTGCACTGCCACAGTAGTCCAAGCTCCTCTCACCTCTCAACTAGATTGCTTTAGAAACTCTGAGAAATCTTTCAGCTTCTGCCATTGCTATCCACCCATCCACTTTTAAGATTTCTTATTTTAAGACTTTAATTCAGATCCTTATAACTTCGTTTGAGTCTCTTATGATTTGGTCTTTATCACATCTCTGATCTCAATTTTTATCACTCTTATTATCTCTCAATATGCCCCATCCATACTAGTTTTCCACAAATGCTTGCATATCCACATCTCAGGGTATATGCATTTGTTACTCTGCCTAAAGTATTCTTCCTTCATGTATTTGTGTGTTTCACTTCAATTTTCATCAGGTCTCTGTACTAAGTCACCTTTACAAAAGAGCCTTTTCTGACTATATTTATATGATAGTAGATTTCCACCACATACTCTTGGTATTTCCCTTTTTCTTTCTTCTTCTCCATAACACTTCTTTTTCCCTGACCTATGACATATTTACCTGTTTATCTGGTAAGAGACATTATTTTGTTCATAGATCTGTCTCCCTCCAGTGTTCAGAATTGGATCTGGCATATAAAGGGTGTTTAATAGTTATTTGATTATTGGATGAAAGAATGATTAAACAAATAAATGGTTCAAAGGCTCAACAAATTAGCTGTTTTGCTGAATTTATCAGCCTGAGCTTTTTAATATGACAGCTCCAGAGACTGTATAAAGTATCCACCAGAACATATCATAATGATAGCACTCAGAGATCGGTGTCCCCTCAGTAAATTGTCAATAATTCAGGCCAAGGTTAAATTGAAAATATGCTTTTATGTATCTCTTCTGCAATGGCCTCAATTTAGAAATGATGAATAATCACAAAGTAATCACAAACATATAATCATTTATATTTTATGGGATTAAAATTTTTGTCTTGGAAAGAATACCAACTGTCTGAAATAGTAGAATATTAATACTGTCTAGGAGGTTTAAGTATTTCTAAAGACCTTTTCCTTGTTTGAAGTCTTAATTTGTTTAACAAGCCCCACTTCTTTCTCATTATGCTAGTATTTTAAATCAGGCTTGTATATAAAATGACCAGGGGAATTCTAAAGGAAACTCCCCGTTCTTTGCTCATGGCAATAATTTCAGCAAATATAGTATTTTTATCAACTGAGTGTCATATTCCTTTGTTTCTCATATAAAATGATACAGGTTCATATTTTAAAACATTCATGCACTCAGTGTAGTTTGCTTCCTAGTCATTCTGCTTAACGTATGAGCGTTTTGGAGATGTGCTAAGGAAATCTTGGAGAATTAAAGTAGGTGAATAATTTCTACAAAAAATATTGGTTCTGAAGTCAGCCCATGTGTAGATATTGAGACATTAGCATCTATACTAGCATAGTTTCTTCACAGAATTAACACCAACATCCTCAAAAAAAAAAAAAACCAAGGAAAATAGGCATTGTGCTAGTAATTCATTACATTATCTTATTTGATCCTCTCAGGATCCCTATGATATGGATGTTGTCATTCCCATTTTGCAGATTTGGTATCTGAATGGACTGGGGAGAAATGTTCACTTTGTAATCTAAATAATGTGATTGAATGCATACAAAATTAAATTAAATGAAAAGAAACCATATTCGATGGCTTACATACATTAGAACTCATGTTTGTCAGGCTTCAACATTTGTGCTCTATATTATGATATTATATTGCAGCCCTGTTCTAAGTTTGTAATTTTATTTAGAAGCTATAAACTTGCTCAGGCAAAATTTCACAGTTTCCCATGTCAAGGCTGAAGTTATTACTTTGAATAAAAATGGTAAATTCCAGGAGTATGAAGAGATTCACTATGGCAGAAAGTGAAAAGGAGTAGGAGATACTGTTTAAAATCAATAGACTGAGGCTAAATGTGGAGGATTTTACCAACCAAGTTAAGGTCTTCAGATTTTTTCCTATAGACCAAATGTTCTCCAATTTTAATATGTATCAGAATCCTCTGGAGCGCATACACCCCATCCCCATAGACTAAAAGAGATACTAAATGAAAGAGGTTAGAGCTATCACAAAGTTTTTAGCTTGAGAATCAGGATAGACTGTGCTGTTACTAAATTAAAGACTGGTAGAAGCTGTAGACAATGAGGCAGGGACCGCAAACTTGATGTGTTTTAAAGACACTATATGTAGATAACCAATGGGGAGTTGTAGGCAGTGCTGTAACTCGAGAGTGAGGTCAGGGGTAAAGATAGTGATTTGAAAAGTCAACAGCACAGAAATAATAGTTAAAATTACACACATGGATGC